GATGGATTTTCTTCGCGAGATAGGCACACAAGTTCAGCAAGCACTCTCCAATTTCGGTATGTTTTAATTAAGAAGTTCAGTTTTCGTTACAAAGTGAGAAATTCCTTGTGAAAAACGTTCATCACTTACAATTTTCCCACTTAATGGCTTTGCTTCTTTTTTCAGGAATCGAAGTTGATATGGACGTAGAGCATGGTGGCCAGACTGAGCGAGTACCGAGACCAAGTCAAACGAGCAGTAATAATAACAACAACAACAATAACGATAATAACAACACGAATAACGATAATAATAACAATAATAATACTGATAAGAGCAGTGGCAACGAAAAGCAAACGGATGAGACACCAAAGGAGCCAACAGATGCCAAGGAAGTCAACGCCGATAGTGGTGATGTTGTGATGACACCGGCGCATGTGAGTTCAGCATTCATTCTCATATTGAATTTTCCCGAAGTACCACTTTGAATTTTGATAATTTCATGAGTTTGTTATGTTTTTCTTCGGTTAGTCTCGTTGTCTGTTAATTGATTACAACCAAGAGTTTAATTTGTAATGCATGATGCTGCTTTGAAATCGTTTGTGATGTGAAGTGATCGTTAATTTGAGTGTGATGTTTGGAATATTCAGACGGATGATGTTGTGACTGAACCAATGAGTGAAATGCACATTTCAAACGATAAGGAACCAGAGCAACAAGCCGATAAAACTGTGGGTGATAAAGAAAACGGCGCTAAGGAACCTGAGGGAAGTGAAAAAGAGAAGGGAAATGTGATGTTGGTTGATATCGATGATGAGGGCAACGACACCGAAATGTGGACAATGATGGACAAGAACGACGTTGAAACGACAGCTAAAACGAATGACGCAGGTGAGGAGTGGTGTAAAGATTGAGAGTACGGCACATAACTTGATTTAGATTAGATTAGGAAATCACTTCAGTCGGTTTAATCCGACGTATTTGATGAAGGCACTGCATTGAGTGAGAAGTGAACATTTGTTTCGTTTGCAAACGGTCAAAGTTTGAGAATTTTATCGTCATGTTAAAGTCAACAGTGAGTTGATGAAATTTGCTTTTTGCACTTGAATGCATTCATATTTCGTTTGTGAGTTTAATAGAATTTAACAGTTTATTTCTTATACTTTGCCGGATTCATATGATCATGTCAAGAGTATTGATGAAGTAATGTTCGTATCGTTTGGATTACTGGAATGAATTTACTTTATCCATGAGGTTTCCATAGCCTGATCGATGACTGATTACGCTTCATTATGCACAGGATCTGTTGAAAAAGTCTACCCGAATCTGTCCGATATTGGAATCAAGTGCATGGCTGGAACACCATTCNTGCCCGCTCATCGCTCCAGGTATACGAGAAGGCATTTTCTTTCTTCTTCGGGTTTTGTGTCATTTGATTGCCCGTAATTATTTAACCTCAGTAAGTTGTGCGAGAATCTTTTGTTGATATTTAGGTGTGTAACTTTTTAAGTGCTATTGTTTTATGGCTTTACTTTCTTGATTCCTATATCTCGTTTTGTGACGTTTATATTCTCTTATTATGATTTTATCTTCTGTTTATTGACTTGTCAGTCGCTCTAGGTAGTATTGGGATGGGCTGTGAGCCTCTTCCGTAAACTGTAGATCGTTTCCCATTTAATGAGCAGTTCTTCGGATCTGATAGATCGAATAATTGCTAGTTCTTCGAGTCACCTACTGCTCAAAAGATGCCATCATTCAAAATTTTCAGACAGACAGGTTGCGACATGCGTGGAACAGCTGGAAGCGATGGGATTCGACAACTGCAACGGCTGGTTGACGAAACTGGCGATGGTTCATCAGGGTGATACAACACGTGTCATCGAGAATTTGGGCAGTGATCCGGTGTATTCGCAACGTCTGCAGGCGGCACTCTGAAGTGTTTGGGGAAGAAATTGGATGGATGAGTTTATTGATCGTGGGAAAAGTGTTTTTCGATTATTGCAAAATTCCTTTTGAGAGGTTATGAAATGGAGGCGATTCTCGAGAAGTACAACAACAACTCATGAATGCATTCATTCGTAGTCGGATTTTTGTTCCGAATGTCTTGTTTGAAAATCCAAAAAAGTGGGTGAAGTTGTAGAGTGGAACTCAAGCCGGCTCCATCAACGTGGCAGCTGTTATATTGCTCGGCTAAAATTTTGAGTTGAA